ATACCATACCATACCATACCATACCATACCATACCATACCATACCATACCATACCATACCATACCATACCATACCATACCATCTTTATTCATAAAGCACTTTAAACAACCATAGGACCAAAGTGCTGTACAGTCACAACAGTCACAGTGTATAATAACAGCTTAAACAGAAATTTTTAACTATATAATTAAAACACATAAAACAAAAAAAGAAACTCAAATCAAACTAAGAGTCAACATATCAGATGATGCTAAAAACCAAGGAGAAGAGATGGTTTTAAGAAGTGATAAAGGGAATGGCCTGTTTGATGCCCAAAGGCAGGTTATTCAGATGCATTGCTTTTATATTTGGGTAATTTCTTTAGAAATATTGATCAAAGTGCAAGTTTGTACTTCACAGCTGGATTAAAAGCTCATTAAACATGCTTGACTTGAAATATTTGAAAAAAAATTTTGAAAAATAATTTTAGTCCTTTTTCATCCGGTGTGTGCATGTGTGTGTGTGCAGTGTGAGGAGCTGCAGACCGAGCTGCACACCATGGAGCAGGAGTGTCAGTCCAGCCAGGCCCGACTGTCGCAGTGCAGAGACGAACTCCGGCAGCTCAGCCACCGCCGCAGGAGAACGGTGAGTGTGTGTGTGTCTGTGTGTGTGTGCGCGCGCTGTAAAAGCTCTCGTTTTCCCCTCATGCTTTGACATTGCACTTAGAGGTCATCAGAACAGAAATAAAGCTTTTATAACTCTCTTTGAGCAGATGTTCTGTTTGTAACCCAGATGTTTGTTTCCTCTCCGTTCAGGCGCCGTGTGGCTCCTGGTGGAGGCTATGTATGATCCTCCTCCTCCTACTTGCCGTAGCTGGGCTCGTCATGCTGTGGTCGTGGCATCCTCCCTTCAGGGATCAAGTGGACATCCTGTACTCAGACATACAGACCAGAATCGAGGACTATTTGATGGAAATGGCCTCTCCTCGACACTCGGGCTGCTTTAGACCGATATGATGATGTCACTGATTAGACACATAGTTTCATAGTTAAAGTAATTTTCTACTGTTCTAGCTTTTGTGTTTAATATTTGATTATAGAGTGAATGGTGTATTTTTATAGCTGATGTTTTGTTTTTAGACTTGGAACTCAGTTTTTGTGATTTGTTGAAATGTGGAGGATGTACTGTAGACGTGTGCAGAAGAGTCAAGAAATACAAGGTTAAAAGGATTTAAAACTCACAGTGTGTCAAACACTGACCACTTTTAAGTTGTGAGTCTAAATATTTAAATGATAAAATTAAAGGAAATATCTTGCACTGTAAAAGGATGATCGTATCTGGGGCACCATCTTATATTAATACAATTTCTTTGCAATTATAATTTACACAAATTTACATGGTAATATTTGATGACGATGCCTGCAGCTGCCCAGCGATTTGTTCTGACCTAAAATTCTGATAAAATAAAGGTGAAACATTAAAATTGTTACGATTTTTTAAGTTTGTTATGAAGGAGCTATTTGTTGTTTGAAACAGTGTTTAAA